CAGTAACATCAAATGAACTGCCAGCTGTTATTAGCCCCGTAACCTATGCGTGTGTGTTGATTGATCCCATGGTGTCATTGGCATTTGTAGGGATCACCTTCACGTTTGTTTATCTGATGTCATTTTTGAAAAAGGAGAGAAAGGTAGCTGTTACAGGTCTTCATTTGATGTTACTGTTAACTTGGTCATGAACTGCACTAACTAGTAACACAACACCTTGTACTACTATTGGGAGGTCGCCCAGAGACGGCATTCGATCAATGAATGGAACGGGCGCCTATACTAGGCACAACCGGCTCGGATGATGAACGTTTCTAAGAGTACATGACCAAGTTAACAGTAACATCAAATGAAGACCTGTAACAGCTACCTTTCTCTCCTTTTCAAGAAATGACATCAGATAAACAAACGTGAAGGTGATCCCTACAAATGCCAATGACACCATGGGATCAATCAACACACACGCATAGGTTACGGGGCTAATAACAGCTGGCAGTTCATTTGAGTGGTGAATTTGGTTTGAAAAGTGGTGAATTTGCTTTGAAAAGTGGTGAATTTGGTTTGAAAAGTGGTGAATTTAAAGTGAAAATGGTATATTTACGTGACTATTCGGCTAGATAAATTGAAACCTTCACAAATCGTATTTTGCTTTGCTTTCAAAAAAATAACCCGGCAATGACGAGTCCCATGAATATAGAGACGCTGTTAGGACCTCCGACCGACTTCTCCATTCCCAGAATTGTCAAAGTGAACCCTATTTTCTGGTGTATGAGAAGCAGGTCCGTCTCGGAGGCAACAAATGGTTTGCGCGTTGAAAAAAAAGGCGTTTTTTGTTCCACTTCTCTAAGTCAATGTTTTAAGCATCTAGTTCCATGACCTAAAATTACTAAAGGTCTCATCAGTGGCTGATTTTATGTTCTCGTATTATCAATAGTTTTATCAGCACTTTTGGTGAGATTTTGGTTCAAATTCAAGGTTGAATTAGATTTTGGTTCAACAGCACAACATCGAAAAAGCATTTCAGAAGCAATTCAGATGATCAGAATCAGGACAAAAAGAGTACAAAAACAGCCACTGCTATGCCTACAGTACTGTTCGGTGAGGATGCTGGGGCGTGTCAGGGAGACCGGATTTCGCGCGGCTCCAGCCAATTCTCCACCAATCGTTGTCGCTTGTCCCGCTCCAATAATCGGTGGAAAACTAGCTAGCACCACGCCAAACCCAGCTTTCCTGACAACTCCAGCATCCGCAGCGACCAAGACTCCAGAAAATTTTCGTGCGAGCTGTCGCATGCGTCTTCTCTCCTTTGCGGTCTTGCAAATAAATAAGCTCAAACTCGGCGCTGTTTATCGACGGGGGGGGGCATTTTGTATTATAATTGCTTCCCTGGTTCCGGTTTACAAATCTCACTCTGGTAAAACTTGTGAACGCTTGTGAAGCTGGAGCAAGATCGTCTAGCCACCATCCTAAAACGTGTCAACTCGAAAAAAGGGTACCTAGATGGGTTGGCAAATCTATGAAAAGCAGAATGCCCCCCCCGTCGATAAACAGCGCCCTCAGACCCCAGAGAAAAGGGTAAATACAGGCGTAACCTGACGTATGGGCTGAAACCAAGAGACGACATGCATCGTCTCTCCAAGGTCAAATGATGTCAGTAGTAAACATACTAAACGCAAACGCGTGACGTGCAAAAAACTGCATCAACATAAAATGCCCCAGTAGGCAAGATAGCCCGATACTGAGATCATGAAGGTCTATTCACAACTTGAATACATTCCCTCTAATCGCCTAAACTTTTCGCTCTTCTTTGCTTTTGTTCCGCAACCGCGGTAACCTCTTATATTACAGTTTTTTACGGACTAGAAGTGGCTCGGGTATCCCGGCGTCTTCCCTCAACGAACCCATCTCCAATTGCCGCTGTAGAAAACTCTGCGCATTGCAGGGTTCCAAGAGAAGACCATGCGAGAAAGCTTAAGAATTCACGCAACACTGAAGTAACTACGCTTCAAGAAGAATAAAACAACAAACCTATAATTCAACAAGACCGCAAGGTGCAGGAAAAGAAGAGCAATGGTGGCTGTTCAGATGTCCTGGAATAATAAACTTTATAAGAAACTGTCGAAGCTACCAACAAGAGATACAGAACTTCTCCAAAAGTCGGGAAATATTGAGTGTAGAAGCCAGGAATCAATTCACAATGTCCTCATAGGCTGCGTTCAGACTTCGCGATAACCTGCGTCGACGCGCCTTAATCACAACAGTGCTCCAAAACCACAGACTCGGACGCACCCGCAGACGGCCGGCGCGATCGATTCTCGTATGCGAATCTTCAATGGGCCTCGGGTGTTGTTACTACCCACCACTCTGCCGATGCGACGCATTTTGTAGGCCGGACAACTCGCCCACGTTTATTGATTTCCTGATCGACTAGCTGACTGACCTACGTTGGCAGTGCGCCAACATAGAAATAGTCCCAGCAAACACCCTAAAGCGATGCTTTTTTGAAGAACTTCACATCGGTGAAGCTATAATATTGGAGGGTAGGTTGCATTTCTCGCCCGAGTTTTCGTAGCGGAACGATTCGTTGAATCAGACAGCAACTTCAGTGCACGTCAAACACCTGGAGTTAATTTCAACTCAGTTCCATAAGTCTTGAAGATTTGCTTAACAGCAGGCTTTTTTATCCTTTATCTATGTCGATGACCCTTTTACATTTACATATTTGCGAGTTGGAACTGGCATTTGGAAATTGTTAAAGAATGACATATCTCATTAATTACTGCCACAGGGGAGTACTGAAGGTGCGACTTTGCCATTACTCATTTGCTATGCCCAGTGGAGACACCAAATCTAGCGTATATCATCAATGACAGTGACATAATGAACACAAATAGCTTGAATTTGAGTAATATAGAAATAATCAAATTTAATTTAATAATTAGTGAGAAAGTCGAATGACGAAGGACGCAGCTTTCAACACCTTGATGTGAATCAGAAGTATACTTTAGTTTCCTCCAGCTCATGTAGCCCCACAGAATGTTTCGAACCGTTTTTAAAGTGGTATACCATTACCTGGAATGCCCCATTTCTAAGAGAATGCAAACTGCAGGCCTCCTATGGGAATCAGCCCATGAAAGGCAAATTGAAAGAAAACCAGATACTCGAGTTTGCTTATAGTCAGAAGAAGCGATCCAGCACGGAAGGGTATTGCAGCTATAGTCAATTGAAAGCTGTAAATTGGAAGCTGTTTCTAAGTAGTAGATGGTCAAAAGCACTCTCGATAAAACCACTTTTAGGTAGTTACCCAGCATTAAAAAAGGGATGTCAGGGCGAAAGAGGGCAAAAAATCGCTCAAAAACGGACGAA